ACCTTGTGGTTGAAATTGACCTTGCAGTCCAGCGCATTAACCCACAGTGCCACACCAGGACAAGAGCTTAATCCTTTGTGCCACCAAGGGACACAACATACACCCTATGTAGCAGATGATTTTTTTGAATAATCCTATGAGATGATTATCTTTATTTTAAGCATGAGGGTCTGAACTCAGTATCACCTAGCTACAAATGGAAAGGCCAGGGCAAAAAAAGATCTGATTCCAAAATCCATGTTCTTTTCTATGGGTTTTAGAATTAGGTTTAGAATCTAAAATACTGTATCATCCTAAACCTGCTATTGACAGATAATTCATTGTAACAATGAAACTCAAGAGAATTACTACATTCAAGTGGGAAGGAAGAGAGTAAAAATGGAGTTAAAAAAATCTACACAGAATAACCTTGGAATAAATAAAGCAACTAAAGTGAACATCAATCTGATTTAATTTTAATGCTTACCCCAGGGATTGCCCACTCTCCACAGTCCTTCCTTTTTATTGCAACAAACTGTAAAATGTTTCTTCCAGAAACAGGGTGGGTAATTTTATTTCCACTACTATCCCTTTTCCACCTGTAAACAGTAATGTAAGGTCATAAGCAATTTAGAACAAAGACCAACATTCTGCTTTAAGCTCGAAAAAAAGATATACACATCAATTATTCTTTTTTTACAAGACAGTATATAACAATTTCGCTCAAATCAATTATCTTTTTATAATTAAAAAAAATTATAAAAACTACTGGTTCTTTATTAAAAATATTTCGTAGTTATCAGTATTACAAACCAAAACTAATGTTTATTTTACATAATACATACTGTATTCTTTGTAATAAAGCAGAATAGAACGTAAAGGATCATAAAAGTTGTTAATAAATAAGTAAAAAGATCTTTTCTTAAGAATTAAAGGTGGTAAAAAGACCTAATAATATGAGCTTTTAACCGTCTATCTTGTGTTATCATTGGAGAAGCAGATTATCTGATACAGGTTTAACTTATCCTATAACATCACACCAGGGCTTCACTTTGGATATAATAGCTTCTAACTTTCTTGATGCAGTAGCTGACTATCATATTTAATCCATATTTCCACCCCTGAAAGAACTCCTAGTCTAGCAATGGAACCAGATACTTAAGTGAATAAATTATAAGACATTTGATGAGTATAATAAATAAATACGAAAGAGCAATTAATATTGGAAGACAACATCTTTTTTTAAGGATGCAAGACAAATGAATAACATAAACAAGAAACAGTTATAAAATAAGATAGTGTTGTCAAGGACGTCATTCTTCTTCAATCAACTATCAACACTCACGGAAGCAGCAGTCAAGAGATCAAACGATGTACTACATTAGGCAAATCTGCTGCACAAAATATTTTTTAAGTGTTGAAGAGCAAAGATGTCAGCTTGAGGACTAAGGTGCACCTGACCCAAGCCATGGTATTTTCAA